ACACACACACACACACACACACACACACACACACACACACACACACTCGTTCCTCCGCCGCCCCCGCAATCTTTCCCCGCCGTCCGCCACCTTACCCCGCCTTCCGCCACATTGCCCCTCTCACTTTCTCGCCCGCTCTTTCCTGGCCTCCCTCTTTCTTCTCTGGTGAAGCTGTTGTCAGTCCCCCCCCCCGCCTTCCTCCCTCCGTCGTGCTCCCTTCCTTGTCGCTCCCTCCCTCTCTCCCCTCTCCCTCTTCCTACCTCCTCCCTCCGCCTTCTCCCTCTCCCTCCCTCCCTTTCCCTCTCTCTCTCCCTCCCTCCCTCTCCCTTCCTTTCCATCCCTTTCCGTCCCTCTCCCTCCCTCTCCGGCCCTCTCCGTCCCTCTTCCTCCCGCTCCCTCCCTTTCTCTGCCCCTCTCCCTCGCTTGCTGCCTCTCTGCCCTCCAATCTGAAGAATAGCAATCTTTGTTCTTCACACGCCACGTGGCAGCGCGTAACAAGTTGACAGGAGGCTGAGAGGAGAGAATCTTATCCACACTAGGTAACCCGTTGCAGCTTCGCCCGCAAAAAATGAAAAAGAAAAAAACACAAAAGAAAGAAAAAGTATAAGGAAATGCCCTATCATATGCCGCTTCTTTCACACTAAGAAAAAGAAGAGCCTGAGAGCACCGAACATTCTTTTTCATTATCTTTGCGTGTTTTGTTTTGGGAGTACTCCGGATCCCTCCAGAAAGAAGAGCCTGCAGCATCGATTTTGTTTTGTGTTGTGCGAGTACTCCGGATCCCTCCGATCGGTCCCTTGCTGTTTGGATCATTATTCCTCCTATCCTACGTGGCAGGGACAGCAATTATCTCCTGAAAATTGTGGGGGCTGCGAGGTGGTCACTGCCGTCCGCGAAAGGCGGGGGAAGGCGGGGGAAGGCGGGGGAAGGCGGGGTTACGTCAGAAGGGTCAGTTCGCTACCCGCCTTAACCGGAGCGAAAGGTCATTATTGTTTTATCTAGACTCAAAGTTGCCCCAAATACATACAGTTGTAATGACCTGTACGTTGCATTCGGGTTAAGATGGGTAGCGACAGGTCCCCTGGGGCCAATTCGCTACCCTGCTTTCTTTTCGCTCGAATACAGCGCACGGTCATCCTGGCTGTATTTAGACTGAAAGATACCGCAAATACATAATGACCGCACGTTGTATTCGCGGGAAGAAGGGTAGCGACTGGTCAGTTGGCCCGATTAGCTAGAGAGGGAGAGTGTTTATAGTCTTATAAATTCATCGTAACTGACAGACAGCATCAAAACAAATATAGTCCTAAAAATTCATCGTGACTGACATACAGCACCTAAACATTTGTTTAAGTTTGCTGTTAATCCTTTACATCTGTCTACTGAAATATTGTGTACGAGCGTTCCCTCTTTGTGTCTCCGTGCTCTAAAAGGAAAAGCAGACGTTCTCTCTCTCTCTCTCTCTCTCTCTCTCTCTCTCTCTCTCTCTCTCTCTCTCTCTCTNATTGTCCTATAAATTCATCGTAACTGACAGACAGCACCAAAACAAATATAGTCATAAAAATTCATCGAATCATCGTGACTGACATACAACACCTAAACATTTGTTTAAGTTTGTTGTTAATCCTTTACATCTGTCTACTGAAATATTGTGTACGAGCGTTCCCTCTTTGTGTCTCCGTGCTCTAAAAGGAAAAACAAACGTTCTCTCTCTCTCTCTCTCTCTCTCTCTCTCTCTCTCTCTCTCTCTCTCTCTCTCTCACTGTGGGACATCAACAGACACAAAACATAAAGATTGAGTTAGCTTGTTGCACTTGACTCCTAAGTTACCCGTCTGTGACATTGTTTCTACTCTAAATTCATCAACATATGAACTTGACGTCTGCATGGGGTTTCTTTTGTTTAGGGTGGGGACTTCTGATTTCCTGTGTTCCAGGTCCAAGAGCATAAAAAATGACGAAGTCGAAGGGAAACTTGTTGAGGATCAAGGACATTTCAGGGATCTCAACAATTACTGGATGGCGCAGCCAGGGCGCCCGTGTTGATTTTGAGGGTGTGTTTGAAATCCCCACTTTGCACTACAGCGCTGATGCCGAGAAAACGCCTACTATCCAGGCTCAGTTTGAAGTGACTGAATCGGAAGAAGACACTCTTGGTCCGGAGGAGGAAGAGGAAGTGGAGGAGGATGAGGAGGGTGAGGAGGATAAGGAGGGTGACGAGGGTGACTTTGGTAGCGAGCGCGAGGAAGCAGTAGACGAGGGTGAACAGGGTGACGAGGATGAGGAAGAAGGAGACGAGGAAGAAGAGGACGAGGAAGAAGAGGACGCTGTCTTTGAGCGGACTGTTGAACAAGAAAGGGGGAACCAAAATGCGTACATCGAGAAATTCTTAAGGAGGGCAAAGCAGTCCGAGGAATTAATCTCTTGCCTGTGGAGCATTGTGCTGTTCCAATCGGCTGTGGAACTGTGGACCAAACATGCAGACCAGGAGAGATACAAATACTGCGGGGAACTAATATACTTCGCCTCTGCACGAGAGAGCCATGAGGATCTGACACTTGCTTGGGTGAATGTGGGGTCGATTTTGACCAAGTTCGTTCTGCGTCGTGCAAGCGTGGTTGTTTGGGAGCAGAAGCTAGATTCCCATCTCAAAAAGCCGAATCAGAAGGGCTTCAAGGTACGACTGTTTGTTTGAGGAAGGTCTCTTCTTTCAGTGAACAGCGGTAAAGCGTTGTAATCCTGCTCTTGTAGTCTAGTGCTACAAATCAGTTCTCGGAGTGCACCGCTACGATTCTCTTGTGATATTTTAGTGCTCTAATCATAATTGTCCAGGCTATTGCTTACAAATCTGTTCTTGAAGTGCACTGCTAGAAATCATTTCTCGGAGTGCGCGGCTACAATTCTATACATTGTAATGCTAAAATCCTGCTTTTGCAGTGCTGTAATTCTCTTTCCCATTATAGTGCTATAATCCTACTTTTAGTGTTCTTTTGCCGAAAATGTGAAAACCCGACAATCTAAATGTTATGGCGGGTGAAGTCCAATCAAAATTTGTTAAGTCGACATAAGAAATTCGTCAGATTAAAGCTCGAGTAAACATTTAGCTTTGAAGGTAGCAAAAATCGCAAGCAGAAGTAGAACACAAAGATACTGTCGAAACTCACACAGCGCAACACGGGACTTGACAGCATCGACAGGCCGGGGGGGATACCATCCGTCCCCTGCTGCTGCTGATTTTGGTACAGACACAACAGCAAGTTGTCACTCGGGTGCATAAATTTGCGCGTGACTGTATCAAAAAGCTGAAAATTGTGGCGAGGATCGTTCGGGGAGAAGTTATAATGAGCCATCTCACGCTGCCCCGTCACATTGTAGTACCCCGGCACGCAAAAGTCCATCGCACTGACAAGCCTGGGGCCACCGGGGTTTGTCATGTTCGGCTTGCACCACGTGAGAAACTCCTGGCCAGCATTGCAGACTTTCGCAAAAGCAGACCGGACTGAGGGAAGCATGTCCATGGAGCCGAAACACAGTCCACAGCGCTGCGCTGGTTACCTGCTTGACATTCTGCAAGACATCCACGATGTCATGCTCAGGGAACGGCTCCGTGTCACGTGCATGACCTTTGTGGGCGAAATCGTGGGGGAAGTCGAAGATAGCGAGGGAAATTGACAGCTTTTCCCTCTGCAGCTGTGTCAAATGCAGCATGTCGCCCTGAATCACCTTAACCAGGTCTGCGCACCCATCAGGTTTCACCTCCGTCCAGTCAGCGAAAGGCTCGTCCAAAGCCGCACCTCGAAAAAAATCACGCGTTCTTCTTTCTACCTCCTTTATTCTCTTGTCCTCCAGCTTCCTCCACTGCTTGGCACGTTCAATCTGGTCCAACAAGGCAGTGGGCTTAGCCCCGCGCCTATCAAAACTGCCGATGAAGGGTTCAAAAACCTCCTTTGTGGTGTCTAAAGTATACAATTGTTCAACAGTTTTGAAGTCCTTACACTTCATGCCAATGCAGAAGGTCTTTGCGACGTAGCTTAACTTCTTGACGACCTTTGATTTCCTCTCCATTTTTTCGAGGGAGATCTGTTTGGAGATGACCTCTATCAGAATAGGGACGATTGCTTCCGGAGGGATGTTGCCCATCGTAATCCCTGGCTACGCGGGCATGTCTGCCGGCATCAGTGGGACTTTATTGTCCTTTAACTTCAGGCGGGGATTGAAAAACGCCATCTCCTGTTCCCTTGCTGCCGCCTTGTCCAGCCTTTTCCTTTTCTACATCTGCTTGCCACCTTCAGATTCACTGGATTCCGGATCGACCTCTATACGAATCTGGCTCTTTTCCAAAGGCTTTTGTTTCTGGTCCTTCACCTCCCCCCTCTTCCACATCTCAAAAATCTTCAACTGCAGGTCCCAGATCTCTTTCGGACGCATAGCAATCTGCAACAGCGGGTCATTGTTCTGCATCTTCTTCGGATTGATGGGTATCCCATATTCGTGCAAGCAGGCTATCTTGACCGAGGGAGCTGTTGGGAGATAGCGGGTGATTACCATTTACCGGAATTGAGTGGCAGTATAAAAAAAGGTTGTGTTTTTACTGCTGACTGCCGGAATTGAGTGGCAGTATAAAATAATTTGTGCTACACATATGTGGCCTGCACAAGATCAGTTTCAATTACTCCGCCAGCCTATTATGCTCATTTGGCATCCTTTAGAGCAATATTTTATTTGGGCGACGTTTTAGAGGAGCGTTCGGCCTCGGAAGCGGAGAGGAAGCTGTTGGGAGACAGCGGGTGATCACCCCTTACCGGAATTGAGTGGCAGTATAAAAAAAAAGTTGTGTTTTTACCGCTGGGTAGATATAGCAGTTTGAGTGTTGGAAGGTTGAAACCTTTGGAAACCAAGACCGCAGCCGATCCCGAGCTTCACGTGTGTACCCTTCGCCCAACACAAAAACTTTATAACCATCGGACAACAATCTCTGCTCGTCAACTGCGTCAACAGTGCTTGCTTCCTCCGGGTCGACCAGACCAATAAAAGGAAGAGGACACCCAAAAGGGTTCTTCTTGAGCGAAGCGATGATTGTTTGCACATGTACCTTGTTCGGTGCACGGATCTCGAGGGGTCTCTGGTCCTCCAGGTTCTCAGGCGGTCTGTGCAAACAGTCCTTGTGGAGATCAAAGAAGTTCTCTTATACCTTTTTAGAAGCAATCTCTTCTAACTCCTTCCACATACGTGTGAGTTCCTCAGACTCCTCATCTTCAGCGAGTTCCGCCGGCAAATGCAGGTTTTGTTGAGCATTCCCCTTGCGTTTCGAGGATGTCGATGGCTTCGCTAAGATCTTCATTTTTTTCTTCTTAATCCCTGAACTTGTGTCTGTTGCGCCCACTGGTTGTGGTGGAATGGTATGTGACGCTTCTGGCTTCCTCGTCGAACCCATACTGTTGGGCTCTACAAATGCCAGGCTGACGTGACATTCCAGTATTTCTCGCAAGTCGTCCCTTGACAGTGAGCCCGCTACGCCTTTGGATGATGCAGAGAGAACAGCCTCAACCACCATCGTCTTAGTTACATTTGGATAGAATCGGATATTATCCAGGCAGTACTCAATGCTCTTTTTGCTCCACCCGTGGAATGACGTTGTATCAAATACCAAAACTTTGTTCATTGCTTCCACATCAGTGCTAAGCAATTCCTTAGTATGCCTTCGGATCGCCGCATTTAACAGCCCGCCAAATTCACAGGCATAAACCATACTTGAAACAAGTAGTTGGATCCTCTGGCACAGAAGATCAATCTGGTACTGCTTTGTAGAGAAGGGTTTMAAAAAGACGACGGACGACAAACATTTGTAGAGAAGGGTTTTAAGAACATGATGGACGACAAAGATTTGTACAGAAGGGTTTTAAAAAAGACGACGGACACAAAGCAAGCTTGCTTGGAAGAACTCGGTCTCAGACCTAAAAAGAAGCTGCTCCAGAAAATTGATCCGTTGCTTTAGGTCGTAATGCACTCCAAAGAGGTTTGGCATTCGACAATGATTTAAATGTAATATGTCGCGTTGGCAGCAGTGAATTTATGTCTGTTGCGCCCACTCGTTGCGGTGGAGTGGTATGCGACGCTTCTGGCTTCCTCGTCGAACCCATACTGCTGGGCTCTACAAATGCCAGGCTGACGTGACATCCCAATATTTCTCGCAAGTCGTCCCTTGATGTTGCAGAGAGAACAGCCTCAGCCACCATCGTCACCCATACTGCTGGGCTCTATAAATGTTAGGCTGACGTGACATTCCAATATTTTTCGCAAGTCGTCCCTTGATGTTGCAGAGAGAACAGCCTCAGCCAACATCGTCTTAGTTACATTTGGATGAAATCGGATATTATGGAGAGAGTACTCAATGCTCTCTTTGCTCCACCCGTGGAATGACGTCGAATTAAATACCAAAACTTTGTTCATTGCTTCCAGAGCAGTGCTAAGCAATTCCTCAGTATGCCAAATTCACAGGCATAAACTATACTTGAAACAAGTAGTTGGATCCTCTGGCACATAAGATCAATCTAGTACTGCTTTGTAGAGAAGGGTTTCAAAAAGACGACGGACGACAAACTTTTGTAGAGAAGGGTTTTAAAAACATGATGGGCGACAAACATTTGTAGAGAAGGGTTTCAAAAAGACTACGGACACAAAGCAAGCTTGCTTGGAAGAATTCGGTCTCAGACCTCAAAAGAAGCTGCTCCAGAAAATTAATTTGTTGCTTTAGGTCGCAATGCACTTCAAAGAGGTTTGGCATTCGACAATGATTTAAATGTAATACGTCGCGTTGGCAGCAGTGAATTTTTGTCTGCTGCGCCCACTCGTTGCGGTGGAGTGGTATGCGACGCTTCTGGCTTCCTCGTCGAACCCACACTGCTGTGCTCTACAAATGCCAGGCTGAAGTGACATTCCAATATTTCTCGCAAGTCGTCCCTTGATGTTGAAGAGAGAACAGCCTCAGCCACCATCGTCACCCATACTGCTGGGCTCTATAAATGCCAGGCTGACATGACATTCCAATATTTCTCGCAAGTCGTCCCTTGATGTTGCAGAGAGAACAGCCTCAACCACCATCGTCTTAGTTACATTTGGATGAAATCGGATATTAGGGAGGCAGTACTCAATGCTCTCTTTGCTCCACCCGTGGAATGACGTCACTGTTGAAATGCTGAGCGAATCATCAACGGGGTCGGATTTAAACTTAAGGGGGGTCAAATTAATTTCGGGGTGCCAAGAATACCCTAGCGGTTAGCACCCACCGCTAGAGGGTTTCAGAAATTACAAAGGGGGTCGGATTGTCACTTAAGGGGGGTCAAATTAATATCGGGGTGCCAAGAATGCCCTGGCGGTTAGGAGCCCCCAGGTCATTGTTCGCAGCCCAGGAGCCCAGGAGCTCTTGTTCCTAGCTCCCAGAGCGCTTGTCAAGGACAACAAGATTGTTTCAGAGCCTACGGACATGCCTCAAGCGCCTTGGATTGAGATGGGTGCTAAGAATCGTTCAGACCAAAATTAAGAGTCGCGTACACAGTGAACAGTTTGCAGACTTGGAAGTTTATAGTCCTATAAACTGCAAACAAAGAAGTTGTGCACAGAGTGAACCGTTTGTAGACTTTGAGGTTTATAGTCCTATAACTTGCTAACACAGAAGTTGCGTACACAGTGAACATTTTGCAAACTTTACAGTTTACAATCCTAAAGGCCACATTTCAGTTGGTACACCTACGCGACTTTTAGACTTGTTAGAGTCTGGAGGGCATCTGAGCCAAGGTTGTTTTCATCTTGGAAAGACGTGATCGACCCAACATGGTGGAAGATGACGGTGCAAACATTCTTTCTATTCTGGAGGCAGTTGCTCAGAAGGTAGAGCTTAGAGGGGCAGGTCCTCCAAAACCACAGAGTTCGAATTGCTCTACCGAGGTGTGTGCCTAGACTCCTCGGTATGCGGTGTCTAAAAGGATGGTCACATTCTTATATTATTCTTGGCAGAGATCATAATACAGGTTACCGTGCCTCTGACGTCGCGGTCAGGGTGTCG